TTCTGCGGAAGAACTGAACGCGGGTTCTGATGAGAACAGTGTAAGCGTTCAAGCAAACCACTTCTGAAGATGCAAGCCACTCGTGCTTGCGAAACGTCGAGAAGAAATTCTACCGGACGACGGGTTAAAAACCCATTAGTTTCAAAAATTCTCGAGTCCGAACATTTTGCCAAACAAACACACATGCGGATCAGCTCAAAATGGTGCAATCAGACATTTATTAAGGCAGCGAGGGTAGTGCTGACCCCATTACTATTCACTGGAGCTGAATCTGTTTCTGATTGGCCCTTTAGCGCTGATTATGCAACCCATTCAGACTTAATTATTCCGCCGCATTGGGTGGAGATGAAGACAAACTACGCCTGGCTCGTCCAGGAGCTCACATTAATTGGCCGAATAATTGTGGAATTAAATTTTTTGCAGGTTCAAATCAATGGGCGATCGGTCGCTATATTGGCCGAAGCTCTAGGTGGGGCCAATGTGGACAACTGTCCGCATCCTTGTGTGGCCAAACCATGCGGCGAAGATGGAGAATGTGTGCCGGAAATGGACTATTTCACTTGCAAGTAAGTTCCATTAGCCAATGAATAAACAGACTCAAATGGGGAATCCATAGTCAATATTGGGTGGCCATCGGTGTCTTTTCCGAACGCGAATATTCTCGGAAACCTCCACTCGTTTTTTGCTGTTCTTCTTCAAAGTTTCCTTGATCCTATTTGTTGCCATTTTGATGCCTCTGCAGGTTTAGAGTATAAAAAATGGTGTGCGTCACGGGACGCTCGACAGAAGTGATACCTTCATAAATTATGATGTCAATAATAATTTTATTTTGTAATTTTAATATTCTTGTTAGTCTAATAATTTATAAATGGATCAGGAATAGGTAAAATTTAATTTAATTTCCTTTTCAATGTAAAATATCTTTTTTATTTGCAACATTTAACATTCTTTAACGAGATGTTGTACATACTGCTCTTCTCGGGTCTGTGTAAACTCTTCTTCTTGAGTTTCTGTATTTTTTAGTCGTAATTTCTTATTTGCTTTGGAGAATCTTTGACGTTCAGCATTAGTTCGTGGTTGATGGAAGCTACTTTGAGTTGATCTATTACTTAATGCCCTTTTTTTAGCACAAAATCGTTTTTGGCGTTCAGCATTACTTAATACTGTTCGCATTGTAGCATGTTTTTGGGACTGCTCTTGTGTATGTTCTTCATGAACGTCTGCTACAACTTGTATCTGAATAGGACTAAAAAATCAATTAATTTTGGTGATTGAAACACGTTCTATCTGTTTAAAATAGACGGTAAAACGAGGAAGAGCTATAGTGACAGGATACACTTGGCACACTATATGTATACATAATGTAAACCATCGCGCGTATGTTGAAAGAAAAAATTCTTACTGAACTAATCCAAGGCTAAAAAAATTAAACTAAATTGAGAAAATGTAATCATAAAGGAATCAAAGGGTATATGAATGGAAAAAATCCATTTTTAAGCGTGGTAAACACAATCAATCATAGAAATAATATAGAGAATTGAAAATAAGCCCCAATAAATTCGTTTTACATATTTTGCAACTATAAGCTGAAGAGAGATTCGTATCGTCTTAACCTCAAGAATGCGTTGCGGGATAGAAAATAAGAAGACGCTACTCATGTTTTCTGAAATAACCGAGGTAAACTCAAATTATTTTTCAATTAAATTCAAAACATATTTATTATATATTATTACAAAACAGTAATGATGTTTATCATTTTATCTCAAATATGAAAGATTACAAAATAGATATCTAAATATTGATAATTTGTTGATACGAAATAAAATAACAAATAATAGGACATATTATTGCATTAAAAGCTATTAATAATAGTTGTGACACTTTATTTGCCCTTAATCTTGAGCCTTTTTCATAAATTGACCCTGCTTTGTTTAGAAAATATTTGCTCAACATCTGGTTTAACAATTGTCTCCGATGAAAATCACTAAACAAGTAGGTAATAATATTTTACCGAATCATGCAATGCAATGCAAATTGACATCATCTGGGCAACATCTGGACTACAGATGGAGAGTAAGACATAGAGAATCGGTACCGGGATTGTATCGATACGATTTAATTTAATTTAATCTTTTCTTGATACGAATTTGCTTCCACAATCAATCAGGCGATTTAAAATAGGTCCAACAGTTTTTCAAAAACTTTATTGTAGTGGATCTTAGGCACAATTTTGTTGCACAACATCGATTGT